GGGGTCTGTTTTTTTTGGGGGGGGGGGTCGGTGGTCGCGTGTGGAAGTCTTTTTTTTTTTTTTTTAGCAGTTGTGATGCGCGTAGTTTGAAAGGACGCTGTCAGTGAACTGAGTCCCGGGTCCCGGCAGCAGCGGGAAACCTAATTCACTCCGCCAGAGTGGACCCACTGAGTGACGGTCCCTACAGGAGGAAGTGTACACACACACACACACACACACACTCTCTCTCTCTCTCTCTGTCTCTCTTTCTCACACACACACGTGTGACAATGCGTCCGTTCGAGCCGCTGCTGCTGCTGTTTTCGCTCCGTCGACTTTAACGTGACATTAGAGCCGAGAGCCGCCGCTTCGTACGGACTATTCGCCGTAAACTTCAGGATTATAATCCCTAAGACTAAACCGAACCGAACCGAAGTGGAATATAAAGACTGTGGGCAGGAGAACAACTATGGGCACACAGGGAACAGGACGGAAAAGGTCTACCAAGAAGGAGAGGTCTACGGCGGAGGACGATGCCCTGAATCTGATAGCAAGAGAGGTGAGTGGAACCGTTCTTTAAGAGAACCACTTCCTTCACTCAGTCCATTTATGTGAAGAGTTCGCTTCTTCATCCACCTCACTCTGAAGTTTCCTGGTCTTGGTGTCTGTTAAGTCCTTCAGTTTCCTTCCTCCTCCTCTGTTGTTATTTTTAAGACCAGGAGTGAAATGGAAACCGGAGTCAAACTCCTCCGGTGTCGTTCAGACTTGTCCACTGAACCTGGTTCTGACAGTCAGATGTTATCACTTTAATAAATGACACAGATTAGCTGTTATCATTAGCATTAGCATTCAAAAAAGGAGAACCACAGTAGGAATCAAGGTTCCGCGATGTTCTTAAACAGGAAACATTTGTTTGTTTTTAAATTATTTTAAGATGTGGGTACTCTGGGTCTCTGGGTGTTCTGGGACTAGTTTACTGAAGTCCAACCCTTAAGAGGTCTGACTTCTGGGACCCTGGGGCCATAGTGGGTCATGGAGATATGAAGTGGGCCATGTGGGCTGTGGGCCGTGTTCTCATGTTGATGTGATAAATATGATGGGGTCCAGGGGTTTCTGGGAGTTTCGGTGCAGGTGTGTTGTCTTTGCATCAAACCTTGGGTCACAGGTCTATACTCCACAATGGTCTGGATCAGTATTGCTGTAGTGGTGTATGACCCACTGATCACAGGCCAGCTGGTGGCCCATATTTCTGGGCTGTACCAGCCTTAAAGCCTCTCATAATCTGATCATCTGTGTATCGGTTAGAATCTGACGATACAATACCTATCATGGTACAGGGGCAACGATATGATATATTGTGATACTACAGGCACAATGAATATTTGACTGTGAATTGCTAATAAAAAAATCAATATAATGATACAGATTTTTTTTTTAAATATATTGCGGTATTTCAATACAGTATAAAACCCCAAACTCATGCAGAGATGGTGCAAGAACCTCGTACTTTATATATACTGTATATAAGGCTAACGTTGACGGTGTTGTTACACCTGAACATCACAGTCAGTGTTGTCTTCTCATCTGGTCATTGTTGTGGTCTGCCGCAGCATTAATGAATGTTTATTGACGTTTTTAATGCGTAGTCTGTTGACAAGACTGGAGTTAAACACTAGTTCAGTTCCCAAAGTGGGGGATGCGGCTCTATTGAGGGCTAAAGTGTATTCCTTTTAATTGCAATTTTTTTATTTTGTGTCTGACTGCGAGAATGTGAAGATCTCGGCCTTTCTGACGTACAGCCTATTTTTGGAGGCAGGACCGTTGGCATGCCGTAGCAGCAGCAGCAGCAGATACCGTGGGTTATTTCCCGTTGACAGACTAAAGGTGTCAGAGTGACAGTTAGTGATGTGACGTGTTTGGTCGTTCTTGTCTGTGGCTTCTGTTCATCAGAGCTGCAGTCTGACTTTTTTACGTTGGTTCTTCAGGCACTGTGCTGAGGTCGATGTGTCAACCTTGATAACTTGGACTGTGCTGAAGCAGGGTTTTAAAAATAGACGCTTCTGAAAGATCAGCTGTTGCTGCTCCCCAGTTTAGTCTGGGACAGGAGGTGGGGAGCAGGGGGGGAGCGAGGGGGGGATGTGGCCCACCACCTGGTCATCTCGGTGGCATGAAAATAAGATTGTGCGTGGAGATGTGTGTCTGGGGCGTCACGATGCGGCGTTGTACACGAAGCTAGCTGTGTTTCCTGTCTGTGAGAGTTGAGACTCAGAGTCAGAACCCTGTTCCTGAGTCACATGGCGGCAGAAAAATGTTCAATGTTGTTTTAAAAAATTAGGAAATAACAAAATATAATGAATGTTCAATGTTGTTTTAAAAAATTAGTAAATAACAAAATATAATAACTATTTCATTAATTTAAATTTAAATTTATTAAAATAGTCTTAATGTAAGGTGTTGATTAAAAAGTTCTCCATTAGAAAACAAGAAGAAATGTTAAAACCAGAACTTTGGCAAACTTTGGCCAGTAGGTTTATTAATGACTCTCGGGAGGATTGGGGGTGGGGGGTCAAAGGGGGTGATGGCCCCCGGCAGGAAGGGTTTCCTGTAGAACTCTGTAGTTCATCATTGAGCACAACAGATCAGGGAACAGCAAGGTTCCATTGGTGTCTCAGAACCGATGAAGAACTTCTTCAGTCTCATGTCTACAGTACAGGAAGTCAGGGCTCTGAGTGTTCGTTTCCTCTTGATGACATCATCAGTCCATTTAGATCGTTATCACAAACTGTTTCCTGTTTGTTCTCCATGACAGAGGTTCTGGCGGTCACCCCGCTCTGGACAACTTTTTTATAGTTCCGTTACCAGTGGGGTTTAATTATCTACTAAGTGACTGGTTTAATAATACAGGGGCAACATTTTTTTTAACTAATTTAGTTGTAGTAAAACTCTCAGCATGGTAAATAAAAACCCATAGAGTGCCGTAGAATATCAACACAGTATCAGATACATTAAAATATCGCAATATTTGAATGTATCGATATTTTCTCTTCCTCTGTTTTAATAAACAATTAATTATTTTCTGCAGAAACTTAAATATATTAAGGGCTGTGGTCTAATCTGTGGTTAACTTTTCTTCCCCAGTCCATTTTCCTCACATATAAAATAACAAAAAGCCAAAGAAAAAAAGGTGTTATACAAACTGACCAAAACCCATGAGAAAAACAGGAAGTGACACAATACAGGACCTGAGCTTACTTCCCCTCCCTCACCCTGCTCTGCCTTCCTCTGCCCTGCTACTCCTTGGTCAATGAAAACTGAAGAATAATAAAAGTATTTTCTATATAGATGTCATTTCCAGGACATTGTGTTTGAATTGACAAAATAATAATAGTAATAATATATATATATATGTGTGTGTGTTTTGTTTTTTTGCAATAATTTTGGATTCTGTTCAAGTTTTCAGTATTGTTAGCGTCCATTAAAGACAGAAAATAATTTCACAAATTCATATATTCAGTATAATTTTTTTAATATCCTCTGGGAATCAATTCTGTTTTTATTGGTTTATTGATCGATCGGTTTATTGATCAGAACATCTGATGTCTGAGAAACCAAAACATAAAATAACACAATTATTTAAATTTACTGAAGAATGTATGAAAATAAACAGGGTTTATAGTCAGTCATGTCGTGGTCTGATGATGTCACTTCTCTGACCCACTAATGTGGTCAACATGAGCTGGGTTGGACCGTTAGTCTGGGTTCTACACTGACGTCAGCGGCTCCATTCTCTCAGCTGTTCCATTTCACACACCCACCTTGAGGAGTGAGAGATTTTCCACAAGTTCCCGCGCCTTTTTCCTCTCCTTTTCCTACTACACCACCTACGCCCAGACTGGATAATGACCCACGTCATGTGTCTGAAGGTCGTCTCAAAGTAGAGAAAAAGAACTACAGTATTTTAGTCTTTGTCTGCTGATTAAAACACCAGTTTTAAACCAAAGCTCCTGGTTGAAGTCCGCCGTGTTGGCCGTGGGAACTGGGCCGGCTGCAGAACGGCTGCAGAACGGCCGCAGGCGTTTAGTTGTTGAGCCACTTGAAGGCTGACCAGGGGTCAGACTGAGATAGTCCAGACCAGAGTCCAGAGCATGTACGGGTCAGTCCGTACTTCAGTTTTAATAACTTACTTCATTCAAAAAGAATCCAGTCGTATCCCTTTACTTTTTTCATTCATAGATAATCTGTCAATATTTCAAAACAACAGGTCAATCAGACTCCGCTGCTAACAGAATAAAGTCTAAAACATGTTTTATTTTGAAAATTGATCCTTCAACAATATCGCGGTGCTACCGGTCCGTAGTAACAGCTGATACCGCTGACTGGTCCTTGGTATAAAAAAGGTTGGGCACCGGTCTACAGTCTCAGGGAGGCCTTTGTTTGTGGTCTTTCAGAGTTCAGAACTATCAGAACTGATGGGACTTTTCTGTAAGAGTTTGTGGTCTTTCAGAGTTCAGAACTATCAGAACTGATGGGACTTTTCTGTAAGTGTTTGACTAAATACTGCATCTTCTCTCATATACTGTAGTACCACATGGTACCAGCCCAGATCTGGGGTTCCCACGAGAACCTTCACCTCATTACACTTGTGCTGGTAGAATGTAGGTCCAAGTCGGTCCATGTGGGGCAGTATAAATAGCTCTGGAGGATTTTGTCTTTTGGCCTAGATACTGTAGGGTATGAAGAGTAGTAAATGTGGTATTACTATAGTATTATTATCAGAATTTTACTAACTAACAGGTACGGCAACAAATACTAGGGAAAAAAATCTGTCAAACCCATTTACTATTTACACTGACTTGTTTCTGTGTACTGTGTAGTACCGTAAGGTCAATCAGCCACTGTTGATTCTGAAGTAGTCAAAGTACTCAGTCAGTACTGGGAACTGCAGTCAGAACTGTGGTAGTAGAAATACTTTTCCCGGTTTAAAAAATGTTTGATAAAGTTGTTGTTTCCTGGAGGGGTGGGGGGGGGGCGACCCACTTACAGGCTGTAATCACACGCTGTGTACCGCAGAGTCAGAGGAAGGAAATGCTTACAGATGCTGTGTAACAGACACACACACACACTGTACACCCAGAGAGAGGTCCTTTTAAGGAAGAAGCCCAGCTCTTGCCTCAGAAGTGAGTGAAGCGGAGGCCAAACCCCAAACACTGACGTATAAATACACACAAGTACTCGCAGTTCTGAGCAGTAGCACAGTATACTCGTACATACTGCAGATACTTCAGCTAGTACTCCTCAGTCAAACTGAAGAAGAAGAACAGAAGCGCACACACACGTGTTTTCTGCCGTTTCATCATTCTCAGGGTTGCAGGGGCAGTGATGTCATCAGGTGGGGGCGGGGCTACATCTTGGACTGTTCTTCAGACTGTCATACAGTCACATGTAGAGACAAACAACCATTCACACTCACATTCACACCGACGGTCAGTTTAGAGCAGAGGTGTCAAACATGCAGCTCGTGGGCCAAAACCAGCCCAATGTGGGGTTCAATCCAGCCCACTTGATCAATCTTGAAAGTGAAGAAATAACCATGAACTTCATGTTTTGATGATCTTTTGTCAAATTATATTTCATAAATATGAATAGTTTATAATATATTTGTATTTATTTGCCTAAAAATTAAGGAGAAAATTTTACTTAATTATGTTATGATTGCACTGGTCCGGCCAACTTGACAGCTAATCAGGCTGAATGTGGACCCTGAACCACAATGAGTTTGACACCCCTGGTTTAGAGCAGGCCTGGGCAAACTAAGGCCTATGGGCCAGATCGCTTAGGATTTTGCATCCAACCAGTCCTGAAATTCTGAACCTCATTTTGACCTGTGACCCTAACCCACTCTCTCTCTCCTCAGGCCGAGGCCAGACTGGCAGCAAAGAGAGCAGCCCGGGCGGAGGCCAGAGAGATCCGCATGAAGGAGCTGGAGCGGCAGCAGAAGGAGGTAGTACGCACAAGTACACCACTACACACTGTAGTAGTACACACAGGTCCCAGAGTCACCTGACCTGTCGTCATTCTCTCAGACATTTTTTCAATTCTTTTGATGTTTGATGTTGTTCCTCAACATTGACTCATTTCCTGTGGTTCTGGTCCTCGGGGCGTGGCCGGTAGTCTGCCCTCAGACCTGGTTGGGTGAGGAAACTCTGGGATGATAAAGTGCTTGGATAACTGCTGTGCCTCAGTGGATAATTGGCTGTCCGGACCACTGATCAGAGATTAATAGCAATCACAGGCCCCCTAGTGGCCACGGTTCATACGCTGATCCTACAGTTGGTGTTTCACTTCATTATTTTATTCAGTCAGAGATGACGTGGAGCAGAGGGAGGGACGTGATGGAGGGAGCAGCAGGAAGGGTGGAGTGTGTCACTGTTCTATATTTAACTGCTTTAGTACTGTTTACACTGAGACAGAAATCCAGTTGTTAATAATTAGTTCACATTCTGTGAACACTGACCCCTGCTCCTGAGTGAGAGTAAACAGTTCCAGTCCTGCGGGTCTGAAACTGTTCTGTAAAACCAGAACTTTTGACTTTCTCCACTTTTTTCTACTGAACTGTTCTGTTGTCTCTGTCTCCTGTCTTCGTCCAGTGATATTTTATCATCTGATTCATTTTTTTTCTCTCTTTTCTCTTCCCTCCATCTCTGTGCCTGTGTAGATCTTTCAGGTCCAGAAGGTATGAACCTCCCCCGACCCCCCGACCCCCCCCCCCCACCTTTCTTTATGAATCAGTCCACGTTCATTCTCGCCCTTTTCTCCTGTGCTCTGTTCACTGAACTGTCTTTCTCCTCTTGTAGAAGTATTACGGCCTGAACACCAAGTTAGACGACGGTGTTGACAACAAGTGGGGGGACATTGAACAGTGGATGGTACAGTGGCAAACAGTGTTGTGTGTGTGTGTGTGTTTAGTTGATGTCGAATCTAAATATTTATATTTCATTGTCACACCCTTCATGTGACGTTCGTTGTCCGTTCCTCGTTCGTCTGCCTCATTGATCTGTCACATCTTTTCTCCCTCACACCTTCTCTTTTCCATTCCTCCCCTACCTCCCCCACCTCCCATCCAGGAGGACAGTGAGAGATACTCACGTTCTTCAAAGGTTTGTATTCCGTCCTCCAATCATCTCCTGTCTGTCCACGCTCCTTATTTTGGCTCATGTTTTAATTTGAATCAAGATTATCTCTGACATTTGCAGGCGGAGATTAGCTGTGGAACATGATAAGTTTCATACATAGATATTTGGCGGAGATTAGCTGTGGAACATGATAAATAACAATGAGTCCAAGTTTTCATCCTTTAGTTTCATACATAGATATTCATATTTAATTAAATGATAATAATTTTACAAAAAAGATCCTGAATATGAAGCATTCGTGTATTTTTTTTTAATTCATCAGGCGGCCCAGATTGAACACCCTAGCGGGTTAGTTTTAGCCCACGGACTGTATGTTTGACACCCCTGTACTTAAATCATTATCTTCTCGTTCATGGACAACAGTGTTTTTTAAACATTGTGTTGTTGTTGTTGTTGTTGTTGTTGTTGTTGTTGTTGTTGGTGTTGGTCACACAGCTGTCAGACGAGGATGAGTGGATGTCAGTGACAGGTCGGGAAAGTGCCCGGGTCAGTACCAACCCCCCCGTCACCTCACGCTCCCCGCGAAACATATAACTGTGGAATGGTTTTTACTGTCACTCACAATCACAGACTGCGTGTGTGTGTGTGTGTGTGTGTGTGTGACACTTTTCTTTCCTTGTATTTTTGCACAGTCTGATCTTGGTGCTGTGGGGGCCTCTGGTGGAGGGGTGAGGACACATGTGGTGTGGAACAGTTTTCTAACAGTTCTGCCGGTGTCATTGTGTTCATTCAACAGTTCTCTAACACAACAGTCTGGTGTGGTGTTGTTGTGGTGTTAACAGTTCCAGCAACCCCTCAGGGGTGAGTGTGGCCCCTGCTGTGGCCCACCACCCATATGTTTAATTTCTAGGAAACAAGATTAAATTAACAGATGTGTAGTTTAACGTTGAGAATGATCTTCCGGTTAAAGCTGAAGGGGGTGCTGTTGTCACTGTTATACACCTGTCCAGCAATGCAGGTGTTGTTGATGTTGATTGTGGCTTATTTTTTGAAGATCTGTGGCCCCCTAGTGGCAGCGTGGTTGAAATAACACCAGAGGAATATTTCCACTGCTGTTGCTGCTTTTTCTATTTCCTTCTGCTGACAGGAGCCAGGTGGTGGCCCCTGCTGGCCATTTCACTACAACCTATCAGATTGCACGGGTCACTCTCTTTACCAAACCACCGCTCTGAGGTCAACAAACAACAACAAGTGTAGACCAAAAAAACTGAACAACCTTAGAGAGTCAGCCTGTCATTCTGAGCTACGTTGTCAGAGTAGGTGATTATTCTCTTTTAACAGAGTCTACAGTGTGTGACGGTGAAGAACACAGTGGTCCAGTTATGGTGACGTTCATCACAGTCAGAACAGTGCTGACCTCACATGTCCATTAAATACCACATAAAAATAGAACACAATCAGTTCTATTTTAAGACCTGCTGCTGCTGTGTCTCACTACTGTTCTTTTTATCAGTGACTAACTGACAGTTTTATTGGTTTTTTTGTGACTGTGTCATGTGATCAGTCTGTTGTACCACTCGTTAACACTTAACACTGCATGTCTGTCCGTCAACTCAGTGGTCCAGACTTTTTATCAGCTGAAGCTCTTGTTCAGACCAGGTCTGGGACCGTAACACATTCTACTGGACGATACATTGTCCCACCAATTATTGCCGATCAATGATACTATTGTCAACATTATTTCAAGACCATCATTACATCACTGGTAAATTTGAAGTGAATTATTTGTCATTATGTTTTACCCTTCACCAAAGTCAACAGGGGGCAGCAGAGTTTGGACTGTTGTTAATCCTTCTGAGCTTTACCTTCTCTCCTCTGTTTCCACACCAAGGATTCCTATCAGAGAAATTCAAAGAAAAAGAAGAAACAGGAAGTCAGAGACAAAGACGTAGGTAAAACCGCAGACATGTCAAACTCCTGAAGACACCCGTGTGTCTGACGGCTGTTCTCGGTCCACAGAGGTTCAGCTACGATGACAACTACAGCGTCTTGTCCAGCAGGGTTAGTAGCTGAGTGGGTTGATTGTGGTCAGGTTCTGGTTGAGTTCTGTGTCCTGGTCCCTGCATGACGGTGAAGGTTCTCAGAACCCTGGTAACCTGGGTTCTTAAAGCACCTGACTGGACCAAACAGTACTTTAACAGTGTGTCTTAACCAACGTTTGTAGGCACATACTGCCACCAACTGTACTGGAGTGTGTAGTGTCATGGTATGACTAGTGACTTTTTGAGATAACTCTGAACTAAACATCTACTCGTTATGCATATTTTATTTCAATCGATTGAAATTGTCACAGAGACCAGTGACTTTTTGAGATAACTCTGAGCTAAACAGCTACTAGTTACTCATTTTTTATTTCAATTGATTGAAATTGTCACAGATTTTTAACCGATTCACGATGCATCGTAACATCACTAGTTAGAAAGTCTAAACAAGTTCAAGTCCATTTGTCTGTGAACTGACGACTAACAAAGTAACACCTTGTCAAATATCCGCGCCCCTGGACTGTATTTACTAAAACGTCTGCATGTGGAGTGCAGTGATGTCAACACTGTGGGGTCCGTTCTCTCTGGTTCTCACCTGGTTCTCACCTGGTTCCCTTTGTTCTCTGAACTCTCAGAGCTCCAGACTCAGTGATGACAGTCGACTGTGTCGTTCCTCCAGATCAGACCTGCAGCCGGTGGGTGAACCAGCAAACAAACTCTCACTGTTCCATGTCTATACTCTGGTGTCCACGCTGGTCTGGCCCATGTGGGACATATGTGTGATTTAGTACCAGAGTCTCTGCTGCCTGGTCAGTGAACGTGTTGAATCTTCTCTCCTCCTCCCAGACCTCCTTCGCCTCCTCTGACTTGTATAGCCTTAATGGTTTGTCCACCTCCAGGAACCATGGTCCAACTTTTAATGGTTGCCAGGTCTGTATGTGAAGAGACTCAGACGAGGATGCTGACTGGACTGGACTCAGACTTGACCTCTTCAACTAATATGTGACCTTTGACTCTCTGTGATCAAGTGATAGCACTCGTCTTAGACGGTGGACTGGGTCCTCACTGCTCTGTGTTCTCTACCCGTTCAGAACTCCTTATATGAAGAGAGTCTGTCCAGTGGGCCACGCCGGGTCACGACCCCCAGCTGTCAAGTAAGATTTGGCTGCATGTGTGTGGACCGCAGTCCGTGTGGACTGTAATGATGTGGACAGATGATAGTGTTTGGCAAGAACCTGGCGATACGATACTGTAGGTATCACGATACAGGGGATGACAACGATACGATAAATTGTGTCGTGAGGATATATTGAGTTTTTGTAAACAATTCAATTTTTTTATCAATGTAACACAAAACAGTTACGAGGTGTGTTTACTGTTGCTAGAGAATAAATAAAATAAAAAGGAAACAAAGCCATGAATATTTGACTACGGTATTGTGACAACAAATATTGCGATATTTCAGTGTCTCTCCATATTTTGTGGTGTGTTGTACTGTGGTGTTTAACTGTTGACACCGTGGTTTCTCTGCAGCCGTTAGAATTCACTAGTTACCGCAGCTCCAGCTCCAGAGCCTCCAGTCGGGCCAGTTCAGCCCGAGCCAGCCCTGTGGTGAGCCCGCCCCCTCCTCCCCCCACACACACACTCTGCGGGTGAACATGTCTGAACAACCCACTGGTTTCACTGTGTTCAGTAGAAATGACACTACGTACCTGTTATCTAGTACTATAGTACATGTTATGTAGTACTGTTTGGTAACTGCTAAAACAATGTATCGTTTGACTTGATATTAAAGTTCTGAAATATAAACATGATCTATGAATACTGCACGGTACTAGTTCGTTCAGACTGTAGTATGAATGTAGTACAATAGATGGCGTTGTTGTTGGTCCTTAGTTCATTAACTGACTGGTGTTGACATGTCGCACTCTCGCTCCTTTATTGTTATGTCGCCCCCCGCTGGCCATCGTAGGACAATTGCAGCTCAGTTGGCAGTTATTTAAGGAGATCAGCCAGCAACAGTGGCCTGTCACGTGACTTTGATGATGTCACTATTCCTGACTTCCTGGATGTGAGTGGATCGGCATGAAGAGGTGGTGACGTCGGTTGCTGCCTTGCTGTGTGTGTGTGTGTGTGTTATCATCCCTGTGTGCTAACCTGCACGGCTCTGACACACTCTGTGGTGTTTTGTTACACATTAACATGCTAATGTGATGTGGTCACACAGTGGAAGACGTGGTCAGAACCTCTGCCTTACAGCAATAAGGTCACAGGTTCATATGGGAGTGAATGAGTGACCCTGTGATTGACAGGAAAACTGTTCAGGGTGTAAACAGCCCCCTCACCCGATGCCTGCTGGTATTGCAACCCTAAAAATAATGAACCCATTATGGTTGGATGGATGTTGCGATGGACTGGTTACATTATTATTTTTATATTTTTCTTGCCTGCTGGATTTGACGGCTGCGCTGCTGTTGATAATAATGACGTGAATAAATAACAAAAGTCATAACAATGATGTTTGTGGTTCAGTGGAGCCACCTTGTGGACGGCTCCTCAGACGCGCTTCCTTCTTTCCTCAGTCCTTGAAGGCCTGTGTGTGTGACTGGTTTTCTTTGTCTCAACAGGTGGAAGACCAGGACTACCAGGAGAAGGTGAGTCAGGTTCTTCACCAGGTGTTCTTCACCAGGTGAAGTCATTCTGGTTTCTAATTTTTAGGACTTTCTTCTTCAGGCCAGCTCCAGAGCAGCTTCCTCCCTAACCACAGCCACCCTCACCTCTTTAGGCGGCACGTTGTCGAGGAGAGGAAGTGGAGACACCACCTTGACCGTAGATGCTGAGACGTCCTTACGAGAAATCAAGGTAATAATCGAAGACCAATCTTGTAAATCCTCTCTGTTCAACTGACAAGTCCAACCTTTGACCTTCACCTCTGGCTCATGGAGGTCCATTATCAGAAAAGACTCTTTGTTGATCACAGATCAGTGGACTGGTCAACTCTGTCTGTCTGCTGGACCTCACTCTTTCTCTCAGCCTTACTCTCACCCTCATTCACTCTCCATCTTTCTCTCACTCTCACTCTCTCACCCTCGCCCTCTGACCTCACCAGGAGATTCATGAACTAAAGGATCAGATCCAGGATGTGGAAACCAAGTACCTGCAAAACCTAAAAGAAGTGAAGGTACCAGCCTGACAGCTGTGCATGGTTCTTCACCAGGATGTTCAGAACACGGATGTTCTTCTGACTGACAAAAACATAACATCTGTGGGGGGGGTGTAGGAGGGGTGCTGTGATCTGAGCTAACAGACGCTGATTTAATGACTGGATTTGGTTCTGGTTGTTCTGGTGGCAGGAGATTCCATTGGGGGAGGTTGTGTGTGTGTGTGTGTGTGTGTGGAGGGATGGGGCATGTCTCAAGAAAACTAATAATTTAGAATTCTGTGCTTTTTGTGCAAATATGAACTAAAGAAATCACATTAACAGAACTGAGTGTCTGCAGCTTCACATCAGTTAGTGAAACCAGGTTCACCCTGGTCAACAGGTCTGGTTGATGATGTGTGGACACATGTTCTCCTCCCTCTCCTCCCTCTGCTCCACACCCAGGACAGACTGTCAGAGGTGGAGGAGAAGTACCGTAAAGCCATGGTGTCCAACGCCCAGCTGGACAATGAGAAGAACCAGCTGATGTACCAGGTGGACACGCTGAAGGACTCCCTGATGGAGATGGAGGAGCTGCTGTCGGAGTCACGCAGAGAACACGAGGATAAAGTCAAGGTGGAGACGCAGAGTTTGGTTTTAAATGAAGACATTTTTAACATCTGTGCCTTTAACCTCAAGGTGTGTGTGTGTGTGTGCGTGCACTGACTGTAGTTCCACTGTCATCCACAGGAGTGTGAGAGAGAGAGACACGCCCACAGTGTCCTGCAGTTTCAGTTCAGTGAAATGAAAGAGTCCCTGAAACACAGTGAGGAGATGCTGACTGTGAGTATGAGTGTGTGTGTGTGTGTCAGCAGTCTGCCTCCACTCTTCATCTCTTCATCTTCTGATGGACTCCTGCTGCTCCTCTTCACTTCCTGCTTTCTTGCCTTCCTTCCTTGTCGTTCTTGTTGTTGTTGTTCAGGAGGTCCACCAGCTGCAGGTGAAACAGGACGGTTTGTTCAGGGAGATCTCCGACCTGCAGGAGACGGTGGAGTGGAAGAATAAGAAAATCAGCGTAGGACTTTGACTAACATCACTGTCACATGTTTACACTTCTTCTTCTTCTTCTGTCCATGACTCTAAACACATGCTTTTCCTTCCACCTAACTTCCTCCCTCTTCCTCCTCCCTCCCCCCTGGGTCTCCGCTCAGGCCTTAGAGCGACAGAAAGAATACACAGACGCAATCCGAACTGAGCGCGATGAGCTCAGAGAGGAGACGGTGAAACTGAAAGACATTCTTAAGGTACACACTCGTAAGGTGTGTTATCGTGTGTGTGTGCGTGTGTGTGTCTCCGCTCAGACCACAAATCTGATGATGGACACAGTTTGGTAAAAAATTGACTTTAGATCTGACTATTTTATTGACCGTTGTTCTAAAATATAATTCTCAAAAACTTACAGATTAAATTCGTTTTTTTACATTATTTAAATTTTATTCAAATGTATTTTCTGGTCATTCTCACGTTGTTGTTTGTTTCCATAGAAACATGGAATAGTGTTGGGGCCGGACCTGAACGTCAACGGTGAACCACAGGTTGAGGGCTCACCTGTGGGAGACGGTGTCCATCCAGCGGCTGATGAGTCACAGACCCCCCCCACAGAAGGGAACAACATGCTGGGTAAAAGACTCAACAGAACGAACCTCCTCACCTGCATGTGCTGGCACGGCCCTGGTGGAGAGCTTCATTCCAAACATTTATATGACATCAGGATCACAGTCATCATGACATCACAGTCATCGTGACATCACAGTCATCGTGACATCAAAGTCATCGAGACATCACAGTCATCGTGACATCAAAGTCATCGAGACATCACAGTCATCCTGACATCACAGTCATCGTGACATCACAGTCATCGAGACATCACAGTCATCGTGACATCACAGTCATCGTGACATCAAAGTCATCGAGACATCACAGTCATCGTGACATCACAGTTATTCACCTCATTTCTATTTTTACATCATTGTCAGTTTTTGGAATGAAGTCTTCAGCATTCTTCACTGCTGTGTCTCTATTCATCCCGTCCCCCCCAACCCCCCCCCACCCTGAAGGACAACTCTGCTCATGTCTCTGTTTCTAGAGCCTTTAAATGAAGATGACCTAATGACCTCAAATGAACAGAGCTGATTTGATCATTGTCGCGTTCTTTGTAGGACAACAGGAAGTCCTTGAGCATGTTACTCCCCACCCCGGCCTGTAGGGGGTGCTCAGTAGACATCTTTCTGTCAGGCAGTGGCTCTCTATGAAAAGAACATAATGATCAGATTTGTCCTTCAGAAACCTTTTCTCTGGTTCTCTCCTCTGACGTTCTGTCAACCAGTGCTGAGTCAGAGCGGTTCTTCAGAGCTGGTTCTGGGCTCAAACACATGTCAATGTTTTTCTCATGCCTTTGTAGTTCCACTGATGTCACACTGATGTTCTGGGGCTGAAACATATCCTGGGTGTTTCTTTCTTGGTTCCTCTGGTTCCCTCTCTTGCTGCTGTTGAACTCTTGGTTCTTTGCTTCCCTGTCTTTTGAAGCCAGTGTTCTTCCCGTGTCTTCTGCTCTGCTGATCTGCTTCCTTAGACAAGTCATGTCTTAACTGAGAACCGTGTTGGTCCTTCATCATCATCTGCTCTTCATGATCTCTCAGGCCAATCACAGGAGACTCTGACGAGTTGTGGAGATGAGGAGGTGAAACCAGAAGTGTCCGCTTCAGAACCATCGGTCAAAGAGGAACCATCAGAAGAACGTCGTGACTTTGGATCTGAGTCCACAGACAAAGACGGCATCAGAGAAAATGGCTTTGACCTGAATGTGGAGGATGATGAAAGTTTAAAGAGCAAAGATACAGATGTTAGTGAACCTGGACCTGAAGGAACTGCAGTTAAAGCTGCAGAGAAGGTTCTGGAAAAAGAACCCGCAGAGGACGGAACGTCAGAGAGGAGGAATGTAGAAAATAAAACCAGTGAAGTCGATTTAATCATTGATGATTCTAATGAGCAGGAAACTTTAGAGGAGTCACATCTGGAGCTGAGGTCAGAGGTCAGCCGGACACCGAAGGTCATCGTCACTGCCCCCTCACAGGATCTGGAGAACTCTGAGGTGGAGGAGGTGGAGAGCAAACCACAGAACAGTAATTCTGCAGCGAAGAAGAAGAAAAGAAAAAGAAAAGGCAAAAAGAAACAGAAACAGGAAGCAGAGAAAGACGTGAGCAAAAACATCCAAACTGTGAAGTCGACGCGGGAAGAACGTGGGTCTGAAGGACCCGAAACCGAGTGTGTTGATGATTACAAAGAACCTCAGGTGGAGGAAGTTCAGGATGAGCAGAGGAACCAACCACGTCATGAGGGAGGTGCAGCGGAGGAAATGGAACCCCCTCAGATCTGTAGTCCCGACCCGCCCCTCACTGTGAGCCATGACACTGAGGCACAGAGTGAAACTCTTAAAGAGTCAGGAACCGCCAAACCTTCAGAACCGAACCAAGATCTGTCCGATCACGGAGACTCCTCCACTGTTTTGGAGAGAGACCGTGACTCCATCACCGATACTCACGGGGTCGAGAACACAGTGTTGACATCTAACACTGACTCAGGAGTCCCCGTTTATACAGAACCCAGTCCTGTGGAGAACCCTGACTCCACAGGTGAGGCAGCAGAACCCAGTCCTGTGGAGAACCCTGACTCCACAGGTGAGGCAGCAGAACCCAGTCCTGTGGAGA